AATTATAAGAAATAATCACAAATTTAGACTACTTTAATTATCATCCTGTAAAACGGTCATCTGAAATTTTGGTAGTCCCATATTGCTCTGTGGAATAATTGAAAGATTGGGCTAACCAACTATGAGAACCAAATAGAAATTAGTTATGGGATCTATGAGTTATTCTATTTTGAATTCAACTTATATTTTGAACCACGACGTTCATTTTTCAGTACGTAAAAGTATATAATTGTGAACTTTCAATGGCGATCGAGAAGTTACTTTTTCAAAAAGTCAGTAGGCAAAGCCTTGAATTAATTCATGATATAGAAAACTGTCATTTTTATAGGTTTCCAGGGGGCTTTATGGCACACTTCTATACAATTTCCGAACAGCTGTCTCCGCTGCTAGCGTGGGGCTTTCTTGGCTCGGACGAGCTACTGCACGACACATGCGTATTTTTCAAGGAACAGGTGATGTTTTAATTCCAAAAGAGAACATCTTTTAAGTTATGTAGATTGGTTCCTTGAATCAATGAATACTATTGAAAACTTGATGTTCATACACAGAGTGATTTGAAAGACTATTTGTAACACCTCGTATTTCTGTGCACAAATAGCAATTTCATCACTATTTGTCACTTCTGTCCATTGTACAGGGTGACAGACTATTGTCTTCACGACTTTGAGAGTTGATATCTGGAAAATGAGTAAATATATCCGAAATTTGGAAAAAAAGGCTCTAATGAGATGTCTCCTCCCAGAAAATAATGATAATTTTCATTATTTTACGTTGGAACACTGAAGACAAGGACAGATGGGGAAAACTAGGTGACTTTATAAATAGAGTGGCGACAATAGACATCCAAATGGTTGACATTTCCGGAATGTCAAGTCACTGAATAGCTAAAAATCGTAAGGGTATCTCCCATGCAATAATGAATTTGCGCCTTCGAAGTGCCCACCTGATGTTAGGTTTAGATATTTGATATTTTTATTCCATCATCTCAATAATCTGAGACTTACGGTCCCTAAAGACGGATTCTAATAGAATAGTTGATATCCAAGGTACTGACATATAGAGTTTCATGTCTGATTGTTGGAAGTTTTGTGTCCAAAGAGCAAAAAACAAAGACAATTCAAATAAAACGAGAAACTTCATAACCTTGCATGAGAGAATTTACATAAGAGGTTTTATGTGTATATGGGGGATCCAAATAATTTCAAAATCATAATACAAGAGTTGAGAATCTAGAAAATGAGTCAACTAAAATTTGGAGCAGTGATTGTGGTGATTAAAGAAACTTCTCTGAGATTGAGAGAATTCATTTTATCTGGGAATGAACATGTTATTGAACCTGTCTTACTTGAAAGAATCATAAACTAGTGAAACTCACGATGAAAATGTCTTCTAAATGTATTTTACTTTCAAAAAATTTCGTTTTTCGTCAGCCTAATTTGATTTTTTGACATCGTCAACAGTCATTTCACGTCATTCCTTGTAGTGAGACAAAAGTAGCTACTGGAATCAGAAAAACTGCAAATAAAACGACACATTAAACTGATTCCGGTGACGGGGAATCGGATAAATAAAACGTAACTAATGCATTGACAAAGTGGAATAGAATACATAGAATTGAATGGAGAAAACAAGACAGGTGGATGCACCTCCATATTGAAGGTCGTTTGACCAATCAAAAAGTGTACAACTATTGTCGTTTTATTTATAAATTCACAAAAGGAAAGACATTTGCTATTCGCGATAGAAAAGCGGCGTGTTTACTTTGTTTTCATTGGTTCACACTTGTTTTTTGTTTTTGCTGATTGGTCACATCATCAAAACAACTCTTGTTATGTGATATACTATTTTGTTCTGTAGGTGATGGACTTCCTGGCGGACATCTTCAGTTTCAGCAAGTGCAAGTACACCACGGTGGAGGAACTAGCGCAAGACGTCATCGCGAGCATGCGCACCAGAGTGGAGAACATCTGTCAAAGACTAAGCGTGCAGTCTTGATTTTTTTCTCTTCATGGAGGAGCTGGTTTTGTTGTCTCTATCGAGTAGGATGTCGAATATGTTCGTATGTGCCAGATTTTATTTGATTTTTTTGTTCGACGACGTGATATTTTTGGTTATGATGCACTTTGGGAAGCCATCATGGTGTGTTTGGCTTCATCGAAGAAAACTTATTCAATGGTCCTCGCGAATTTGAATAGGCCTTTTCATCTAGATATATTTTTAAGACGCATGCGCTCGTTTTTAGATCCAAGAATGTATTGGGTAATGCGAAGGTGAAGTTCCAACACAAAATGCTGATTGGCCATATCGAATATGGCGGGTATTATTGACGTTCTGTCAAATTGTCAAATGTCAACACGTGTCAACCACCATGGGCATTCGTCATTGAGAAACAACAATTTACAACATAGTATTTCTGTTTTTATATTCCTGGTGTGTATTAATTGTATGATAATAATTCGATTCCAAAAAATTTTACTTATTACTGAGGAGTGTAAGTGTTTCGGTGAAAATGGCCGCCACTGTATCGTTGGACGTGAGATGTAAACAGAGATAGTCATTTGTCATCTAAATGAAAAGTCCTATCGAATCAGAAGGTTCATTATCTTCTATACCTATATATACAGCCAGTGATAGCATATATAGTGTCTAGTACAAATGACAGGTGTCAAAGTGAATATTTGAATTTGCTGAACTTTTGATTCTAATGCTATAATCCAGTGAGTGAAAACTTCATTCTCGTACGTTTTCTTCCTGGCTGCTTTGTAGATTTTTGTCTGTAATCAAATTTAATTAACCAAAGACATGTTTTTTTATTAAGGAAGCCCAGTATTTATTAGTATTAATAAAAATAAGAAAATGAAATCTATTTAATGTTTCTAAACAGCTCTGACGAGACCCACAGTAAATACTGCAGACTTTTTCAATCAAAATAAGTTGATGTAGACAAAAATTCAAAAATATCTTGTAGATTATTGCAATTCATCTCCATTCATTTGTTGACCGTTTTTATTCCTTCACAATTTTAATAATGACTGATTGTTTTTCGTTATGTATTTATTCTACCATCTCAAATTTTGAAAATGGATGTTCGTTACTATGATGAGTATCATATCCAGACAAATGACAAATTTTTTTTTTTCAAATGTTGACATTCCTTATTCCTTCAAGTATAGTCTGAGATATTCATACAATTTCATATGTCTATGCTTACATTCTACAAAAATGTAAATTCATCAATATTTACAATTACAGAATTGGAATGATATTTGTGTGGTAATTGTGTAGTATGTGTACATTGTTTAAGTTTTATTGTTTTGTTATTCTATCTTCAAATAAAGGTATACACAAAAGAACATTCAACCACCCCTTTTTCCGCTTTTGGAGATGTGAATAAGCTAGTGTCAGTGCATTTCATGGTGTTCCTTTGAACCTTACTTTCAATTTGAACAGTGTTCCTTCGTTTTCTTTTTATTTTTAAGTTGAATATACAGGGTATGTCACGACGAGCTTACACAATCTTTTTATCGAGAATCAGTTGGGAGAAATACATGAAAATGTGCATGCTTATGTTTCAGAATACGCTCTCTTCATTTAAAATATTTTCGACAATGCAGTGTTGCCGCTTCTACTAGAAAGTAGTAGCAACATTGATATTTCAAATGAAACACCCTGTATTTTATCGCATTTTCAGATTCTCCCTGAAGAGTTGATTTCATCGATATATCACACATGGGGTCTATCGAAAATGATTACAAAGATATAGGGTGTTCAAAATCGAGATTTTTCAACTTTAGGATTTTTTTGTGTCGAAACTATTCATTATCGGTCAAAATAAATCACATGACCCTGTCCCAACTTTTGATTCACTATTTACTGATATGTAATCGGAACAGATACAGAGTGGTTCAAGATTCAGAATTCTAATCACCCAGTATCTGTTCCGATTAAATATCAGTAAACAGTAAATCCAAAGTTGAGATAGGGACATGTGATCCGTTTTGGCCGATAATGAATAGTTTCGACACAAACAAATCGCAAATCCTAAAGTTGAAAAATCTCGATTTTGAACGCCCTATATCTCTGAAATCATTTCCGATAGACCCCAAGTGTGATGTATCGATGGAATCAGCTATTCAGGGGAAATCTAAAAATGCAATAAAATAAAGGGTATTCTATTTGAAATAACAAAGTTGTTGCTACTTTTTGATAGAAGCGGCAACACTGCATTGCGGAAAATATTTTAAATATAAGCATGCATATTTTTAATATAAGCATGCATATTTTCATGGATTTCTTCCAACTGATTCTCGATAATAGAGATAGTGTAAGCTCGTCGTGACATACCCTGTATATAAGTTATATATATCCAATTTGCAGAGAAGAGGAATGTTCCTGGTTGAATGTCATATAATATGTGGGATGAGAGAGAAGTGGCCAAGAAACTGAAATAAGAAGTCTTATTTTCGCGCCTAGAGCACAGGGAGGAAGGAATAAGAAGAAGATAGCTTTATGTCCTGATGTCTAACTCTGGACAGTGTTGTTCTTGTCATTATAGTCATGAATCTATTACTATTTGCTGTTAGCACCAAAATAATATGATGTTTCGTTACTAAAAAATCTGTTACTGTGTTCAGCGGATAATTATGTTCTGCTCTATGGGTCTATGTTCTATATTTATGTCATAAGTTCTGTGTGACTTCTTCCTAATTCCTGTCGAAACTGTCTAATTTGTGCGGTATGGTTTGTGGGTTTGGCCAATGACGGCTAAATGGACTGTCTGACAGGTTATAGTACTCGTCACTCGTCAGACAGTCCATTTAGCCGTCATTGGTTTGGCTTGACAAGAATAACATTCAAAATGTCAAATTTTTCGAGTCTATTACCTTTTGATACAAATCTGTTACCTTTATCCAAGAAAATCTATTACGAAAAAATCAGACCCAGGAACAACCCACTGAGTGGACTGGATAAGAGGCTAAAGAAGCGAAGAAGAAGAAGAGTAATGGAATGGTTCAAATTCGAAAATATTTTGATAAACAAATCAAATAATGTACTATTCAATTAACATAAATTTTACTTGATATTTTATCAATGATATCATCGAGATATCATCTAGATGGATTAGTGAAAATGGCGAAAAGGCAACTGTTGCTACTATCATCGTCAAACGTGCATGGTCATGAATATTTGGAATATGCTGCCAAGGATATTTGTGAATTGTTGACTTTGTTAGTATAATAAAAGTTCATTAAAAACTTGTTTATCCTGTGCTCATTATGATTTGATTCCAGAAATAATGTAAGCACAGTATTGTTTGTGCCATATGCCTTGAGCAACCATGAGGAATATTTGAAAAAGGTAGAACAACCTTTCAGAAGATGGGGTAAGTTTTTCCACCTATTATATTTCTTCCTGTTGCCTAATTTGGTGAATTTAAGGATTCCAGGTTGAAAGTATACATAACCAAAATCCCCTGGAAGCTGTGAAACAGGCAGAAGCTATCTTTATTGGGGGTGGAAATACTTTTCGTCTCCTGAAAACTCTTTATGACCTAAACCTAGTGGAGGCTATCAATGAAAGGGTTCTCAAAAACGGGATCCCTTATATTGGTTCCAGTGCTGGTATTTTTTTTTTTCAATCTCAAAACATGAATCATATACTGTATTTGAAATTGATCAGCTTTTTTTAGGGACAAATGTGGCAACAAGAAGCATACACACCACCAATGACATGCCAATTGTCTACCCTCCTAGCTTTGACAGTTTAAATTTGGTGCCCTTCAATATCAACCCCCATTATCAGGATCCTGATGATGGTTCTAAGCACAAGGGCGAAACTAGGGAGGAAAGAATAATGCAGTACCTGGAGGAGAAAGATTCCAGTCATGTTTTGGGTCTGAGAGAAGGGGCCACCCTCTCTGTGAATGGTAATACTGCAGTTTTGAAAGGACTGATTGGGGCAAGATTGTTCATAAAGTGAGTAGCTATTTATTCACAAAAAAACATTTTTCATTGCATTATCATTTTATTACTGAGTTGACATCATTCAGAAATGCATTTGAACCAATTTTTGATTCATGTTCCATGTGAAAGAATCACTGGATAAATCTATTGATCTGGTATATCATGTAAATAAAAATTCTATTGTGCATTTTCATTGTTTATTCCTATTTTCATTTATTTGATAGTTATATTACTTTGGCTATATTTTATTTCAGGGGACAGAAACCTAGGGAAATAGATGTTGGTAGTGATTTGAGTTATTTATTGAAAGAATAAATATACATCAATACATTCTATTAAAATTTACAATAAAACTATACCATTGTAACATGGCAAAAATATTGAAATAAAGAAGCACCATTGCCCTGGAAATATCACATATTGGGTAAAATTTAAAATCTACACTACAACATCCTTATTTCCTCATTATCATCTGAATCAATGATTGTAGGATCTAAATTTGGATTTGAGAACAAATCCTCTACTGGTTTTAATTTTTCTTTTCTCATTATAGCTGCATCTCCCTTCATATTATTGGTCCCTTGAATATTTTCAAGCTGCATGTTTGGAATCCTAAAAGTTGAAGAAATTTAGCATCTTATATTTTCATCAAATTCAACTTCCAACTCCATTGAAAATGTCTAAAAACTATTGCAAATTAATCCTTTCAAAAAGGTTTCAGAAATCAGAAATTTGACATTGAAAACTATCCAGTTGGTAACATTTGGAGAAGACAGTTTTCTGACATTTTTTGGAAGCAAAAGTTGTCTTTCAGGTGATATCTCATCAGCAAAAGACTCACATATTTAAAGTATCAAATTCTCCCACAGCAGCTTCAGCAACTTCACTATCCAAGACAAAGCCAAACTCTGAAAATTCCCTGACCAATGTGTTGCTCATTAGAACTTTACATTTGTCAAACACCTTCATTCCAATATCACCATGATGTAGATCACAATTTTTCAAGGTGATTTTTGATCCAGAATTTCCAACCACCCCCACTGCAAACCCAGTTATCTCACAATTCTCTAACACCACTTCAGCCTCTGCTAGCACAATAATGCCTTGTTGGGTGGAAGATGATCCATTGCCCTGGATTTTACAGTTGCTGATGACACACTTGCCTTTACGTACCAAAATGCCACATTGGACTGATTTTGTGTCCACTGTCAAGTTTTCAATGAGAATTTCATCCCCATTGAAATCCAGCATAACATCCTCCAGGATGGAATCCACAATAATCCTATTTTTATCGCCGAATCCTCTGAGTGTGCCCCCTTTCTCCAGGGCACCAATAGTACGTATGGTGTGAGTGTTCTCATTCAGCAGATAAATATCCCCAGAGTTTGTGGATTCCAGTTTGGAGGCTAAGCTGTCAGAGAATGTGATTTTTTGCAATGGGAAACTTGTTTCTACTTGGTGCAAGAAAGAAATACAGTCAGCAGTGGTGCCCTCATTGAATATCAACCAAATGTGTTGCTTAGGTGTTGGAGCAACAGGTTTTGTGTCATGTCTTCTAATGATCACTTCACGAAGTAGGGGACTTTCTAGAATATCGATTTCAGCCCGGATTTCTTGTAGGCGGACGTGGATTTCCAGTAAAGTTTGAGTTGTTTGGTTTTTTCTAATATCTAACAACAAATAATCATTTTTCTCCATACTTCCTTATAAATTTAAAATGGAAACTCACCTTTTTGAAACTCCATCTCATACTCTTCTCTGTTGAGTTTTTCTTCCAAAGCTTCCCTTTTATTCTGCATCCTCCTTGCTTCTATCAACAGATCATGAATATGTTCAGCAACTCCTCTAGGTATCACACCATTCTTCAAGTCATAGAAGAATTGTAGACGGCTCTCTAAATGTTTTTCTCTCCAGTCATGATTGTCATCATCATCTCTATCCCAAGGCATATAAACATACAAATAAAAAAACCTCAGTGTATCTAAAGCATCTGCTGTTTGCATCAAACTGAGTGCAATGCTTTTTTCTTGCTCTCTGGTGGGCCAGAGTTGTATAAGAGGTATCCAGTGTTTGTCTGGAATATGGATATCCTCTTGCACAGCTAGAACTCGAACTAGAACTTTCAGTTTTTGGGCATCTATGTTTAAAACAAAGACTAGTACATATGAGGGAAAATGTATATGCAGAGATTCACAAGTGAGGCGAGGTATTTTCCAAATAGCTTGCCAGCCAATATTTTCCACAGTCATTTCTACATGGAGAGCCCACTGTTTGGATAACTGTGATGATGGAAGAATATCATTGCTGGACAAAATCTCACTGTATTCCTGATAACGTTGTTGAAGGCTTTTATCGAAAGTTATGATGTCTTCCATATTGTTTTGGTATTTTTCAAATTGCACCGAAATTGGATTCAGATGATTTGGTTTCAATCTACAAACATTCTCAACAAAACAAAAAAAACCGTTATTTTTAATTTTATATCTACTTTTTTGAATATAGACAGTTATAATGTCACCCATCAATGTTGATTATTCTTCTTGATAGTTTTAGGATCTTAGCTACTAGGACTATCCGGACAGTTGTCAGTTCTTATTCGTCTTCTTTCTTTTAAGGCTCATACATTATTATCCATGTCCCACATTCGCTATTGCAACATTTGCCATAACGATGTTCTGAGTCCCAGAACACGGCTCTTTCTACACTAAACGACAACGAGCACTCGATCGAACAAACTTGTTTATTTGTCATCTTCATCTTGAAAAGTTGAAAAGAAAAGCAAAAATGGCCAACTGTAAGCTAACCTAAAATATTACAACAGACGCTAAGTACGCATTTTGATACTTTTTATTTTGTGTTATTGTGTACAGGAACAAGAAAATTCGGACTTGAATGTGTGACGAAATATATATTTAAAACTAGTGATTCGTATGAGTAAGTGTTGAATTGGATCTACCTAAAATTTTACGCCATAAAATGCCGTACATGTCTGATCCCACATTAGTACCTCGCGTACAAAAGTATCTGGAATCAAATGTCGACAAAACCTATGTGGATATCAATGTGATGGCTGATCATTTGCAAGGGCAGTACAGAGAGTACTCCAAACGTAAACGCAGTGTATTTCGTGCGGCAGTCAACAAAGCATATTCTATCGTTTTAGCGAGCTATGGAATGAACGAGGACAATTCGGATGGCGATACTGTGAACAGTGACGAGAGTAGTATAGATCCAGGAGACAACACTCATGAACAGCTCAACAATTCAATGAACAATCAAATGCTTGCCTTGTACAACAGAAAGAACACTCAGAAAGGCATGGAAGAGAGTGAATTGATAGACATAAGCAGTGACGATGATGATGCTCTCTCAGGTCCTGCACAAAACAAAGTTATCCCCAACAAAAATGGTACAGAGCTCACAATAACAGCTGAACCCAATCCAGACCACAGTGACAGGGGTAAGAAGCGCAAGCTTACATATGCCACAGTCATGAAATTTGCTCCCAACAAAAAGAAGAAAACAACTAGCAGTTCCAAAGATCAGTCATTGAAGTTCAAAGATATTGGTGGCATGGACAAAACCTTGGAAGAGGTGTGCAAACTGTTGATACACATCAGCCATCCAGAAATTTATCAATCTATTGGTATCACACCACCCAGAGGGTTTCTGCTTCATGGTCCCCCTGGTTGTGGGAAAACCCTGCTTGCCAATGCCATTGCTGGGGAATTGAAGGTCCCACTGGTAAAAGTTGCTGCCCCAGAACTTGTAGCTGGTGTTTCAGGTATTTATTCAAGAATGTAAATTCTTATACAAATGTGCACAAAGCTGTAGAATCAATTTGCAGTATATCAAGTGAAATATCAGACAAAGTATACGTTGAAATTTTCCCTTGTAATCATCAGAGAATGAAACAGAAGAAGTAATTCAACTTTGGAAAATATTTAGTATATTTTGTCACATGGTATGGAATAACACAAAGAAAATACAAACAATTCTAGTTGATGAATCTCTGATGTTATTCCATTTTACTGGGAATAGATTACAAAATATGTTTTTGTTTTTAGGGGAGAGTGAAGCAAGAATAAGAGAGCTGTTTGAGCAGGCAGTTAGATTATCTCCCTGTGTGTTATTTATTGATGAGATTGATGCTATTACCCAAAATAGACAGAATGCACAGAAAGAAATGGAGAAAAGGATTGTTGCCCAACTGTTGAGTTGCCTTGATGGTAAGTAAACTCTAATTTGAAAAAAAATTGTAAGTGAAATATAATCTTTAATTCACTCTAGCATCTTGTCTTAAGATCATAGCTTTTTTCATCCTTTGAATAGGACTGTAAACAGATAATTTTATGTAGAGCTTGAAAGATTGTTTTTTCAGTTCAGTGTTTATACATATTTGAAACATTTACACTTGTCCTCTAAGAGAAATCAAGAATCATTTACAATAAGAGAAATTGGTGATGTTGAATTTCTAATGCATTTGATATTGATATGTATAAATACTGGGTGAATTGAAATAACTACATGTATTTCAAACCCTAAGAAGGAGGATTTTGGGCAATACTCCTATTTCCTTGAACTGTGCAGACTTAGTTTGAAGTATGAACTAAATGCATTGAGGAAGTTTCTAATAATATGAGTATTCTGAGTATTTGCATTCATATTTATGATTGTTGCCCAACTGTTGAGTTGTCTTGATGGTAAGTAAACTCTAATTGAAAGTGTAAGTGAAATATAATCTTTAATTCACTCTAGCATCTTGTCTAAGATCAAAGTTTTTTTTATCCTTTGAATTGGACTGTAAACATGTATTGAAGTGTAACAATGATGATAGTTACCTGAAGGTTCTTACTGATAATTTTATGTAGAGCTTGAAAGGTTGTTTTTTCAGTTCAGTGTTTATACATATTTGAAAAATTTTCACTTGTCCAAGAGAAATCAGGAATCATTTACAATAAGAGAAATTGGTGATGTTGAATTTCTAATGCATTTGAAATTTGTATCCAATAGATGATATAAATTGAGTATAAGCTATTGATATGTATAAATAATAAATGAATTAAAATAACTACATGTATTTCAAACCCTAAGAAGGATGATTTTGGGCAATTTCCTTAAACTGTGCAGACTTAGTTTGAATTATGAACTAAATGCAGTCTTTGAGGAAAGTTTCTAATAATAGGAGTATTCTGAGTATTTGCATTCATATTTATTGTATTTGTGTATAACTTATTTTCATTTCATTGTGATCTATTTCATCATCTAATTTACAAAAACTGCTACATTATAGAAGAGGTTTCAATTGAAAATTGAAAAGTTACCATTATTAACTTTGAAACTGTCAAATTTTCATATTATACAAGGTGTTTTTGAATTAAGTGCACATATTCAGTACATTGATATGATACAGTCTAACAAATATTCCCAAAATATAAATTTTTTTCTATTTTTTATAATCAACAAAAAAAAATGATCCTGAAAATTTAACAAAAAACCAAAGAAAAAAATTGAGTATGCCACTTTAAAACAATTTAAATGACTACTCTCTGTGTGATTGTGCCTTCTGCACGGAAATTTGAAAAGAGGTGACGTCAGAATTGCTACAGTGTAGAATTTTGGGTGGAAAAAGGACATCACCCCAAATTTTATTTTGATCCCTTTTTTTATTGGTTTACATCAAGCTTTCAGGGGTGTTGAAGTATTGATATTTATTTCAATGTTACCCTGAAACTATATTAAATTAATGATTGTTTGATTGTTTGTTTACATTGTTTTACTACTTTATCCATTTGACCGGGAGCCCACAACGTATTTTTTGTGTCATTTCTTCACACTCAGCAGTCAGCAGTATAACATCCTCTCAAATTCCACCTTCTAGTGGATATGAGATCGCCGTATCAAATATCATTTGTTAATGTTGGGCATTTTGTGAATTTAAATAATTATTCACGAAAACTCAAGTTGATATAATCGTTGAACATTTTGTTTTAAGTCGGGGACTAACCACAAACCACCGACGCGTACATATATTGGTCTCTAGGGTTGTGATGGTTTGGGTTGAATAACCCGCTATTAGGTGTGGAATATAGACAAACCAAAATTCATTTCTCTATGGTGTATAATGTAAGTACGGTTTGTACCCTCCAAACATTGGTAATATCCGCGAGAAACTGGAAGCGTGACGCGCACGCGAAAACATAAACAAGTTGTGGATCGAATTAGGGACAATTAACTCAATACAACTGGAAGGGAGACGGCCGTTCTCTGGAATAGCACAAAGTGTGTCAGGGGCAGCGGCAACAAAGATAGCATGATTTACGGTAACCTGTCTCTTTCCTACTCCTGTTGTTTAATGGTGGATTGGTGTTTACGTTTGCTTTCATCAAATAATTGAAGTACTTTAGATTTTTTTCTCACATCTAAACAGGCAAGAAAGTGAAGGCATAAGTTCATTGTCTTTGTTCATGTGAAATATCTATTCATTTGGCGTGTTTTGTTTTATAAAAAGGACTGAATTTGTTGGTGTGAACACTGTGAACTGATTGTTGAGAAGGTTTTGATAAACAATGGTGATTTATTGTGTCGCCTTTGGATGCAAGAACGAGCAAGACAAAAGGAAATTGTCATTTCATGGGTAAGTTGAATATTGTTCAGATTTTTGGAAAATATAGTGCTTGAAATGATCATCAGTTAGGTGTACAATGTTCCCAGTCTCAGAATATGTTCAAAAACTATACCTATATTATTTGTCAAAGTTAAATACTTCCATGACTTTTCCATAAACATATTAAGTTATATTATTTGTTGCAGTTTTCCATTCAGACATTCTTGAATTATGGATTGAGGCAGTTTGTAGAGAGAGTTGGACTCCATCTAAAACCAGCAAGCTTTGTGGAGACCATTTTCTGCCAACTGATTATTTATTTAGACATATCAGGTACTGCTAGGTTATTGAAACCAGATGCTGTACCCAGTATATTTCCATTTCCTAAGCATTTGTTACCAAAAAATACTGACCCTTGAAGGAAAATAAGAAAACTCATATGTACATAACTAGTTGATTAATAATGAAAAAAAAGTATGGTTGCACCTCTTTGAAATAGAAAACTAGCTAGTAATTTATTTTCAGGATGCATCTGTGGAAGTTCATAACATTATGGGTCCTAAGGAAGATGTTTCTCATATTATGGACTTTACCTATGACTTCCTGCTCCCAAGTTTCGAAGTTCATCAATAAATAAACCCAAACTGTTCCTTTGGAGAAGGATAGATATTGTATTGAGAATTGTATTTTTTCAATTTCTAATAGGGATATGTTTGTAGGCAGTGACCTACCGGTAAAATAGGAACCTATGGAACTTATGCTCAAAATGGACCTTAGATAGTCAATACCATTCAAGAACCTCTTTTCAAACTTTTCCTATCGTTTTTCTTTTTCTTCTGATAGTGCTAAGATATTGTGCTTCGCTCACCCTGTACGATATATTGTGACATTTGAATGAAAATGTATAATTTCAATTTTGTATTCATTTAACTTCCTAATCCTGTAAGAATAAAAATTCCATTATTAAGTCAAAAATCTATAATAATTTTTTAATGATGATTGATTGCAACATTTTCCTTTTTCCTATATAATTTTTTTATTTAATCACGTTAACTCTTAAATGAAAGCAAAAAACGAGAAAATATTTCAAATAATGCGAGCGCTTCCCATTAGCGAACATAAGATAGAGAGAGATAGGTATCCGTAAACACTGCGGGTTGCCTGAACAATATTTTTGCCTCACTCGTCGTTCACAGTGGGTCTCTTCCAGTTGTTTACATTGAGTTCATTGATTAGGGACACCCTGCATATAGATTCTCATCGTGTTTTCCATATATGTACTATTTCTATATATGACGCGTCGCGTATACGATATCTCAACAAAAAAGGGACCAAAATGAGAGGTACTTTTTGAATCTATAAGGACATAGTAAAGGATGGAAACAGTCATATTTCGGAGGTCATATTGGTTTGACAAGTTTCGTATTATTTTTTCCCTACGTCGGCATCAACGCCTATTGGTCGATTTCGTTACCTATAGAGACAGAAATTGGTCCCGCTTTGAGGACAGCTATGCTTCATATATGAGTAGTAGATATACGGTGTTTTGCATCTCCTGCCAGAATTGAACAAAGAAGAACTGGGCAGCCGAGTGCTGGTGATCGGCGCTACGAACCGCCCCGACTCGATCGACCCCGCCCTTCGAAGGGCCGGCCGCTTCGACAGAGAGATATCGCTCGGCATCCCGAACAAGGAGAGCCGGGCGCAGATCCTCAAAGTGCTGACGGCGAAGCTGAAGCTGGCGACCAACTTCGATTTCGAGCTGCTGGCCTCGCTCACGCCCGGCTACGTCGGCGCCGATCTGTTGGCCTTGTCCAGGGAAGCGGCTATGGTGGCTGTCAACGGGTAAATGCAAGATTTTCAACAATAGGTCGCGTGCACGATGACCGACCCTGGAGGCAAAATATTGAAACACAACCTCACTCTTCTGTGAATTATTGAAACACAACCTCACTTTTCCATTCGTTTACAGAGGAATCAAAAGGTTGAAATAGGTTTTTTACAATATTTTGGCATACGAATCGTGTTTCTTGCGTTATTCATTAATTCAAGCATGCCTTCGCATTATGCTGTTGTACAATGCACAAAAAATGCAGCAAGAGACTAGGGAATATGATTTTTCAGGTAAATAGTAATCTCACATAGTTATCATTATGAAATGTTGTCATTCCTTATTAAAATTCCTTCTGCCTTCTGCCACTTCTGCAATACAAGCTGATGCTGCTAATAAATAGATTGAAAATGTCTACAACACACACGATCGTCAGCATGTCAGACCAGTCCTCCCGATTGATTGCATGAATCCAATCTTCTTGCATTATTCTAGAAATTTCAGGTATATTTCTATTAGCTCTTATTGCAGAAGGAATTCCGATGAGGAAAACTATTTCGATCACTTGTAATCAAGTATGAAATGTGACGTTGTGTTTCAATGTTTTGCCTCCAGCGTCGGTCATCTGACGGTTCTTGCACGCAACTCATTCTTTTTCTGTGACGGGAAAAAAGTTTGACATTTCATCTCTGTTGACAGGTAACAAAATGTCACTTTTAATACATTACTTTTTTCCCGTGGAGACCATTTTGAACAATTCATATTGTTTGATCTGTATGTCACTACTTTCATTATCATAATAAATTGCAATTCAAAAAGTCGTGAGGTAAAGTACTGCCATTTTTCGGAAAAAATATTAAAAATAAATGTAACTCATTTGAAAGAACATATAATAATTTCAAAAATAACAATAAGTAGAGGTTGATGTTCAAAATTTCAGAGGTGGGTGCCTTGTGGCTGAAGGAATTAAATATAATATAACAAAAACCTCAAAAGTCCTTCTTGATCTTTAAATTTACGTTTTTCGCCAAATTTCCATAGTGTCATCAGTTGGAGAAATATTGAATGCTGCTCTCTTATCCACTTGTCACCCTGTATAAAGGTTCATTAGGTTCCCAAAATAAGTGCGAGATACACAATTTAATAATATTTATTCCATTGTAAACTGACGCAAACTCAATTTTGTTGAAATTGATGTCGGCGAAATTCCAAATAGGTTGATGAAACGAATAAAGGAAATGGACCAGAAAGAAGAAGACGAAATCAACGCTGCGGCCGCCGCTGCAGCTGCCACCGCTGCTGCGGCCGCCACCGCCTCTGCCAACAAACAGAAGAGCGCCTCAAAGGAAGACCCACCGGAAGTGATTGTGGATGACGTGGAAATCGAGCCAGTGGAAGAGGACGTGGAAATTCAACCGGTGGAAACGGCTTCTGTCGTCGATGCCGCCCCCGCTGCTGCTGCTGATGCCACCCCCGCTGCTGTTGTCGAGAAACCCGCAAACTCGGATGCCTCTGCAGATGTCGCTGTGGTGATTATCGACGATGACAATGTCGGCAAGGCTGCCGTTCCTAAGGCGCCGAAAGTTAATTCGGAAACACTTCAGAAAAGAGATGTACCTAAGGTGAGTTTGCCATTCATTGAAAATGTGTTCAGAGTCGGAGATTTCGTAAAATTTGGAAATTCAAGAAAGCGGATCCAATACGGCGGACGAGTTTTTTCATTATGATCAGATTCCATTCAAAATTTTTATCTGGGGGTTTTTGGGGTCGGAGATTATGTCTCTTCCGTCAAAATTTGGAAATTCAAGATGGCGGATCCAATATGGCGGACGAGTTTTGTAATTATGATCCGATTCAATTCAAAGTATCTGGGGGTTTGCAGGGTCGGAGATTATAACTCTTTCATCAAAATTTCGAAATTAATGATGGCTGATCCAATATGGTGGTCGACTTTCGTATTTATGATCTGATCAAAATTGGTAACTGGTGGTTTTCGAGGTCGGAGATCATGATTCCTTTGTCAAAATTAGGGAATTCAAAATGGCGGTTCTAATATGGTGGACGAGTTGTTTAATTATCATCAGATTCTATTCAAAATTGTTATCTGGGGGTTTTGGAGATGATGATTCTGTTATCAAAATTTGGAAATCCAAGATGGCAGATCCAATATGTCGGATGAGTTTTGTAACTATGATCCGATTCTGTTCAAAATTTGTATCTGGGGGATTTTGGGGTCGGAGATTAGGATTCTTTCATCAAAATTAGTAAATTAAAGATGAAAGATCCAATATGGCGGACGAGTTTTGGTATTATGATCCAATTCTATTCATAATTTGTATCTGGGGGTTTTTGGGGTCGGAGATTATGATGTTATTCTCTAAAATTGGGAAATTCGAAATGGCGGTCCAATATGGCTAAAGAGCTTTGTGATAAATAGTAGTTTGAAAAACTAATGAAACACGTTTTTATAGATAGTCAAACTAAAAAGAAGTGAGTAGAAAATAAAGAGTAGTTCGAAAAAAGAAGTAGAAAATAAATACAATAGTTGGAAATACTAATATCCCCACCAATCGCGATTTTTGGCGTTAAGGGTGGCTGACCAAGGTTGACGTATACTTTTTGATAATTTATGAATGAATCGCGGTGCCTATTTGTGGATGAGCATGTATCCATGCATACTAGACATAAGAACCATCCATTTTTTTTTGTTTTTCCTCGTCGACTCATCCTCGTGTTTCTGCAGTGGAAAGCTCTGAGCGCGCTGGACGAGATCCTCGCCTGGCTGCACGACCAGCTGCCTTTGTCCGAGGAGGAGTTGACCGGGCTGTGCATAACGATGGAGGACTTTCGGGAGGCGCTGAAATGCGTCCAGCCATCGGCCAAAAGGGAGGGGTTCGCCACCGTGCCGGACACCACGTGGGACGACGTCGGATCGCTGAGGAACATCAGGGAAGAGTTGCAGTTGTCCATCGTGGTGAGTGCTTACTTCATTTTGTCATGAAACCCTTAATAATACTATTCATTCCATTCTTTGCTGTAAACATTACATTGCATCTCATATAAATATAAATATATTTTATTAAGATTTATGGAATGGAATGACATGAATAATGAGACAGATTCTTCTCTGGTATGAGATTATTCATGTGTTATTAAATCTGTAAAGTATCTCAAGGGTGTATGTGCGGTTCAGCTGAGTAGAAAAATGCTCCTAAGATTTCAGATCTTTATTAAGACTCCAGAAATGGTGATGGTATGCAGTAGGAAAATACACAGAGGCGGAGGGAGGCAAGTTGTTTAGTCTCCTTACATCCAAATCTAAAAAGGGCATAAATATACACTCTTATGCCAGAACTAGTTACACTTGCTAACAATAAATCCAATGATACGAAATTCGTCATGCATGGCAAATCCTAGGTTACGTTTTACAATTTATATAAAATGGGTTTCACCTACCTAAAAAGGGCATAGGCGAGAGGCCCAGCGCTGCCAGGAGCGTAGACGCTTCAGAAAACCTCAAAAAACCCTTTGCAAACTGGATGCACAACGATTTATAATTTATACCGTCCTTCCCGTTTCAATCTATAAGCACCATCTTCTCATTTCCCCCTCTCAACCGTCAGAATTCAAATAACCATGACTTTTCTATTAGTAATTAACTCTTCAATGATACTCAGGAATTAGTAGCTAGAAATACCCAGTTTGCGGCATTTTACTTCAGTTTGTGAGTCAACAACATTTTTATAAAAATCTCCATTCATTAGGAATATAAGTATATCAAGGTATAAAGAATACAATTCTCTTGCAATAATTCCTTGAAGTTATCCCCACCATTCGCGATTTAATTCATTTTTTCGTGTTTGGCATACTTTCCATTGATTTACTGTTATTTAGTCTGAGCTTTCATCTATCATGTCAACAAATGGGAGATTGCCAGCTCTGCCACTCCCGACACGACAGTTTTTTTTTTCTTTTATGTTATAACTGTGACATGCATTTGAAATAGCGCGATTTATGAATTCTTCTTCCCATTTCTTAGGCCCCCGTCCGCCATGCCGCCCAATTCGAATCGCTGGGCATCGACGCCCCCACCGGCGTCCTCCTCTTCGGCCCGCCCGGCTGCGGCAAAACTCTATTGGCCAAGGCCATCGCCCACGAGGCCGGCATCAACTTCATCTCGGTGAAAGGGCCCGAGCTGCTCAACATGTACGTGGGCGAGAGCGAACGGGCGGTGCGGGTGTGCTTCGAGCGGGCGAGGAATTCGGCGCCGTGCGTCATCTTCTTCGACGAGTTGGACGCGCTGTGTTCGAAGAGGGGCGGGGGGCAGCAGGAGGGGAACTCGACGGGGAGGGTGGTGAACCAGCTGTTGACGGAGATGGACGGGGTCGGTGGTAGGAAGGGGGTGAGTGTGGAATTTTGCTAAGATTTTCTCTCAACTTTGAGATTTAAATTTAAAAAAAATGAAATCCTCTCTCAAAAACATAACATAAGTTCAATTTTTCCCAGTAGGTAGATCAATTATTCACAGATACATCCAGCTTTGTGGACTTTTCCCTTTCATAAACACAAGTAGATAGATAATTCGACTACAAATCATACATTTCAAATACCTACTTTGTGAACATCATATTCACTCCACTTAATTTGCAATATTCATTTTACTATTGAATGGGAATGAAGTGGAAAATAACGTAACCTCAAATTGGGGCATTTTTATTTTTCGAATCTCATGTATTTTGAGTAGTGAAACATACTGTTTGAACGAATATCTGCTGAAAAGCTCCCTCAAATCATAAGTGTACACAAATAAACAGTTCTCTCTGCTCAAATCACTATAAAAAATAATACTCACAAGCAAATGAACCATTTCAAAGCAATGTACTTCCATATAGTTCAACAACCGGCCACTTTGGCGCTGCCATCTTGAATTCAGTCGCCCATATAAAAAAGGTCAAAATGGTCTTCTGCTCTTTTCTCATTTCCAGTGTTGCCTACATAAAATTTTCATTATTTTACGCTGGAACACTGAAGACATGTACAGATGGGGAAGACACATTTTTTCTCTCTCAACGCTGGCTGAACTTCTCTATTATCAAGAAAATATCCGAGTGTAAACTCTGCTTTCACAACGCACTTCTTCCCCTACTAATCGCCTCTCTCTCCCCCTCTCCCAACTCGCAGGTGTACCTGTTGGCGGCCACCAACCGGCCGGACATCATCGATCCGGCCATCCTGCGGCCGGGCCGGCTCGACAAGCTGCTGTACGTCGGCCTGCCCACTGCTGCCGACCGGGCGGACATTTTGCGGGCGATAACGCGCGACGGCCGTCGACCGAAGATGTCGTCGGACGTGTCGCTGGAGGCGGTGGCCGAGTCGAAGGAGTGCGACGGATTCACCGGCGCCGATTTGGCGGCGTTGGTACGCGAGGCGGGTGTCGCCGCTCTCAGGTAACTATGAAATTTCGGACAATAATTTGTCGGAACCCTATTTCATAGCGACTGTAATTAATCAGTACCGTATTCCATCGGAACCGTAATATATCAGTACTGTATTTCATCAAAATCGCATTAAATCAGTACCGTATTCCATCGGAACCGTATTATATCAGTACTGTATTTCATCAAAAATGCATTATAACAATACCGTATTTCATCAAAAACGCATTAAATCAGTACCGTATTTCATCAAAATCGCATTAAATCAGAACCGTATTCCATCGAAACCGTATTATATCAGTACCGTATTCCATCGGAACCGTATTATATCAGTACCGTATTGCATCAAAAACGCATTATAGCAATACCGTATTCCATCGGAACCGTATTATATCAGTACCGTATTTCATCAAAAACGCATTAAATCAGAACCGTATTCCATCGAAACCGTATTATATCAGTACCGTATTCCATCGGAACCGTATTATATCAGTACCGTATTCCATCGGAACCGTATTATATCAGTACCGTATTTCATCAAAAACGCATTAAATCAGAACCGTATTCCATCAAAAACGCATTAAATCAGAACCCTATTCCATCGAAACCGTATTATATCAGTACCGTATTTCATCAAAATCGCATTAAATCAGTACCGTATTCCATCGGAACCGTATTATATCAGTACCGTATTTCATCAAAAACGCATTAAATCAGAACCGTATTCCATCAAGAACGCATTAAATCAGAACCGTATTCCATCGAAACCGTATTATATCAGTACCGTATTTCATCAAAAACGCATTATAACAATACCGTATTTCATCAAAAACGCATTAAATCAGTACCGTATTTCATCAAAATCGCATTAAATCAGTACTGTATTCCATCAAAAACGCATTAAATCAGAACCCTATTCCATCGAAACCGTATTATATCAGTACCGTATTTCATCAAAATCGCATTAAATCAGTACCGTATTCCATCGGAACCGTATTATATCAGTACCGTATTTCATCAAAAACGCATTAAATCAGAACCGTATTCCATCAAAAACGCATTAAATCAGAACCGTATTCCATCGAAACCGTATTATATCAGTACCGTATTTCATCAAAAACGCATTATAACAATACCGTATTTCATCAAAAACGCATTAAATCAGTACCATATTCCATCGAAACCGTATTATATCAGTACCGTATTTCATCAAAATCGCATTAAATCAGTACCGTATTCCATCGGAACCGTATTATATCAGTACCGTATTTCATCAAAATCGCATTAAATCAGTACCGTATTCCATCGGAACCGTATTATATCAGTACCGTATTCCATCAAAAACGCATTAAATCAGTACCGTATTCCATCGAAACCGTATTATATCAGTACCGTATTCCATCGGAACCGTATTATATCAGTACCGTATTCCATCGGAACCGTATTATATCAGTACCGTATTTCATCAAAATCGCATTAAATCAGTACCGTATTCCATCGGAACCGTATTATATCAGTACCGTATTTCATCAAAATCGCATTAAATCAGTACCGTATTCCATCGGAACCGTATTATATCAGTACCGTATTTCATCAAAAACGCATTAAATCAGAACCGTATTCCATCAAAAACGCATTAAATCAGAACCGTATTCCATCGAAACCGTATTATATCAGTACCGTATTTCATCAAAAACGCATTATAACAATACCGTATTTCATCAAAAACGCATTAAATCAGTACCGTATTCCATCGAAACCGTATTATATCAGTACCGTATTTCATCAAAATCGCATTAAATCAGTACCGTATTCCATCGGAACCGTATTATATCAGTACCGTATTTCATCAAAATCGCATTAAATCAGTACCGTATTCCATCGGAACCGTATTATATCAGTACCGTATTCCATCGAAACTATATTATATCAGAATAGTATTCCATCGAAACCGTATTATATCAGTACCGTATTTCATCAAAATCGCATTAAATCAGTACCGTATTCCATCGGAACCGTATTATATCAGTACCGTATTTCATCAAAATCGCATTAAATCAGTACCGTATTCCATCGGAACCGTATTATATCAGTACCGTATTTCATCAAAAACGCATTAAATCAGAACCGTATTCCATCAAAAACGCATTAAATCAGAACCGTATTCCATCGAAACCGTATTATATCAGTACCGTATTTCATCAAAAACGCATTATAACAATACCGTATTTCATCAAAAACGCATTAAATCAGTACCATATTCCATCGAAACCGTATTATATCAGTACCGTATTTCATCAAAATCGCATTAAATCAGTACCGTATTCCATCGGAACCGTATTATATCAGTACCGTATTTCATCAAAATCGCATTAAATCAGTACCGTATTCCATCGGAACCGTATTATATCAGTACCGTATTTCATCAAAAACGCATTAAATCAGAACCGTATTCCATCGAAACCGTATTATATCAGTACCGTATTCCATCGGAACCGTATTATATCAGTACCGTATTCCATCGGAACCGTATTATATCAGTACCGTATTTCATCAAAAACGCATTAAATCAGAACCGTATTCCATCAAGAACGCATTAAATCAGAACCGTATTCCATCGAAACCGTATTATATCAGTACCGTATTTCATCAAAAACGCATTATAACAATACCGTATTTCATCAAAAACGCATTAAATCAGTACCGTATTTCATCAAAATCGCATTAAATCAGTACTGTATTCCATCAAAAACGCATTAAATCAGAACCCTATTCCATCGAAACCGTATTATATCAGTACCGTATTTCATCAAAATCGCATTAAATCAGTACCGTATTCCATCGGAACCGTATTATATCAGTACCGTATTTCATCAAAAACGCATTAAATCAGAACCGTATTCCATCAAAAACGCATTAAATCAGAACCGTATTCCATCGAAACCGTATTATATCAGTACCGTATTTCATCAAAAACGCATTATAACAATACCGTATTTCATCAAAAACGCATTAAATCAGTACCGTATTCCATCGAAACCGTATTATATCAGTACCGTATTTCATCAAAATCGCATTAAATCAGTACCGTATTCCATCGGAACCGTATTATATCAGTACCGTATTTCATCAAAATCGCATTAAATCAGTACCGTATTCCATCGGAACCGTATTATATCAGTACCGTATTTCATCAAAAACGCATTAAATCAGAACCGTATTCCATCAAGAACGCATTAAATCAGAACCGTATTCCATCGAAACCGTATTATATCAGTACCGTATTTCATCAAAAACGCATTAAATCAGAACCGTATTCCATCAAAAACGCATTAAATCAGAACCGTATTCCATCGAAACCGTATTATATCAGTACCGTATTTCATCAAAAACGCATTATAACAATACCGTATTTCATCAAAAACGCATTAAATCAGTACCGTATTCCATCGGAACCGTATTATATCAGTACCGTATTTCATCAAAAACGCATTAAATCAGTACCGTATTCCATCGAAACCGTATTATATCAGTACCGTATTCCATCGGAACCGTATTATATCAGTACCGTATTCCATCGGAACCGTATTATATCAGTACCGTATTTCATCAAAAACGCATTAAATCAGAACCGTATTCCATCAAGAACGCATTAAATCAGAACCGTATTCCATCGAAACCGTATTATATCAGTACCGTATTTCATCAAAAACGCATTATAACAATACCGTATTTCATCAAAAACGCATTAAATCAGTACCGTATTTCATCAAAATCGCATTAAATCAGTACTGTATTCCATCAAAAACGCATTAAATCAGAACCCTATTCCATCGAAACCGTATTATATCAGTACCGTATTTCATCAAAATCGCATTAAATCAGTACCGTATTCCATCGGAACCGTATTATATCAGTACCGTATTTCATCAAAAACGCATTAAATCAGAACCGTATTCCATCAAAAACGCATTAAATCAGAACCGTATTCCATCGAAACCGTATTATATCAGTACCGTATTTCATCAAAAACGCATTATAACAATACCGTATTTCATCAAAAACGCATTAAATCAGTACCGTATTCCATCGAAACCGTATTATATCAGTACCGTATTTCATCAAAATCGCATTAAATCAGTACCGTATTCCATCGGAACCGTATTATATCAGTACCGTATTTCATCAAAATCGCATTAAATCAGTACCGTATTCCATCGGAACCGTATTATATCAGTACCGTATTTCATCAAAAACGCATTAAATCAGAACCGTATTCCATCAAGAACGCATTAAATCAGAACCGTATTCCATCGAAACCGTATTATATCAGTACCGTATTTCATCAAAAACGCATTATAACAATACCGTATTTCATCAAAAACGCATTAAATCAGTACCGTATTTCATCAAAATCGCATTAAATCAGTACTGTATTCCATCAAAAACGCATTAAATCAGAACCGTATTCCATCGAAACCGTATTATATCAGTACCGTATTTCATCAAAAACGCATTATAACAATACCGTATTTCATCAAAAACGCATTAAATCAGTACCGTATTTAATCAAAATCGCATTAAATCAGTACCGTATTCCATCGGAACCGTATTATATCAGTACCGTATTCCATCGGAACCGTAATATATCAGTACTGTATTTCATCAAAATCGCATTAAATCAGTACCGTATTCCATCGGAACCGTATTATATCAGTACCGTATTCCATCGGAACCGTAATATATCAGTACTGTATTTCATCAAAATCGCATTAAATCAGTACCGTATTCCATCGGAACCGTATTATATCAGTACCGTATTCCATCGGAACCGTAATATATCAGTACTGTATTTCATCAAAATCGCATTAAATCAGTACCGTATTTCATCGGAACCGTATTATATCAGTACCGTATTTTATCAAAACCGCATTAACCATTACAGTTCTGATTATTCACCATCATGATGTCCGGTTATGAAAATAGATTACTATTCTGACCAAATACGATTCTGACAGATTTCTGGGGCCATAAAATACTGATCTGATGATTGGTCTATGGTTTTGTTGACATACCGTTCCGTTCGAAAACGATTATGATGAAATGCCATTCTGATGGAGTACAGTTTCATGATCAATTACCATTCCTATGAAATACGGTAATGTTTTACGTTCCTTCGAGTAAATACCATCATTTCACTACATGGAAGCAGTACTTACAATATTTAAAGCCTGTTGCATTAACCTTGATCCTTATTGACTTAGCTAGAAATCAACTATCGATCATTTTATCGATTGATATTAATTGATTTTCTCTGATTTTGCCACACGACATTAGTTCACCCTGTGATATGTATATCTTTATTTCAGGGACGTTTTGAGCGGTGGCAGCGTGTCGACTGCCGAGGTGATGGTGACTTCGGAGCACTTCAAAAGGGCCTTCGGCAAGATCAGAGGTTCGGTGAGTGAGAAGAACCGGGAGTATTACGAGAAGCTGAGGAAGCTGTACTCGTCGGACAGAAAGGATAGCGAAGTGGAGGAAATGGAGTTGTCTTAGATTAGTTTTATTTTTATCGTTTCCGTAATTGATTTTATACAAACATAGAATTGTTGATATTGCAAAGTTTTGTATATTTTTGGTGAGCAAACTCGATTTCTACTCCCGTTAGTTTTGTTGGATCTGTTTCCGAGAATAATTATTCATCACCCTTGTATCATGAATGAATTAGAAATTATATATTTCCAAATATAGAATCAAATGATTTTCACTGCTTTTTATTCATATCCCACAAATATTTCGTTCTTGAGGTATATAATTTTGTGGAACTGACAACCTCCCTTGAGTTGGCATATACCTACGAGAGTTTGTAAAGTCGGAATGAGTGTAAGTTTCAATACTTGAGGATTCAAATACCCCTCATGAATTGAGTTGATATGCTTTATTGGGAGCATGTGGAGTTGGCGAATATCTAGGAAACTAATGAAACATAAAGGATTACTGATTTCAGATTTTTGTTCAGTATATCCAGAACACCCTTTTTCTGTCGTTGCGGTACCTTTGATATCAAATGATCTCGATCTAGTACCTCCGTTGACTGGAGATCGAGAAAGTTCTTGCCATCATTTCAGCGATCTATTTTCAATTTTTGATCGCAAATATCTCGAGAACCAAGTGAGATAAACACAAACGGACTTCAGATTCTTGTTCAGCACATCAAGAACACCCTGTATGCAAGTTTTCAGCCCATTCTGATGCCTCGAGTTAGATGAAAAATGTTCAAAGGGGTTAACCTTGTTTATTTTTCAGACCAAAAAATCAACTTTGTCGTAGGGCTTCCAAATTTGGTATACAGGGTCCTTGAAGAATGCCCTAGTGCGGAGTAGAAGCATAGCTCTCTAACTTTCATAATAAAAAAGTAGCAAGTTTTCACCTGCTTTTCTGTCGTTGCGGTACCTTTGATATCAAATAATCTCGATCTAGTACCTCCATTGACTGGAGATCGAGAAAGTTCTTGCTATCATTTCAGCGATCTATTTTCAATTTTCGATCGCAAATATCTCGATAACCAAAAGAGATAAAGACAAACGGACTTCAGATTCTTGTTCAGCACATAAAGAACACCCCGTATGCAAGTTTTCAGCCCATTCTGATGCCTCGAGTTAGATGAAAAATGTTCAAAGGGGTTAACCTTGCTTATTTTTCAGACCAAAAAATCAACTTTGTCGTAGGGCTTCCAAATTTGGTATACAGGATCCTCGTGTAATGCCCTAGTGCGGAGCAGAAGCATAGCTCTCTAACTATCATAATAAAAAAGTAGCAATTTTCACCTGCTTTTCTGTCGTTGCGGTACCTTTGATATCAAATAATCTCGATCTAGTACCTCCGTTGAGTGGAGATCGAGAAAGTTCTTGCCATCATTTCAGCGATCTATTTTCAATTTTCGATCGCAAATATCTCGAGAACCAAGTGAGATAAAGACAAACGGAATTCAGATTCTTGTTCAGCACATCAAGAACACCCTGTATGCAAGTTTTCAGCCCATTCTGATGCCTCGAGTTAGATGAAAAATGTTCAAAGGGGTTAACCTTGTTTATTTTTCAGACCAAAAAATCAACTTTGTCGTAGGGCCTTCAAATTTGGTATACAGGGTCCTCGTGGAATGCCCTAGTGCGGAGTAGAAGCATAGCTCTCTAACTTTCATAATAAAAAAGTAGCAAGTTTTCACCTGCTTTTCTGTCGTTGCGGTACCTTTGATATCAAATGATCTCGATCTAGTACCTCCATTGACTGGAGATCGAGAAAGTTCTTGCCTTCATTTCAGCGATCTATCAGACTTTTTTTTGTCAATTTTCGATCGCAAATATCTCGATAACCAAAAGAGATAAAGACAAACGGACTTCAGATTCTTGTTCAGCACATCAAGAACACCCTGTATGCTAGTTTTCAGCCCATTCTGATGCCTCGAGTTAGATGAAAAAATGTTCAAAGGGGTAAACCTTGCTTATTTTTCAGTCCAAAAAATCAACTTTGTCGTAGGGCCTTCAAATTTGGTATACAGGGTCCTCGTGTAATGCCCTAGTGCGGAGTAGAAGCATAGCTCTCTAACTTTCATAATAAAAAAGTACCAAGTTTTCACCTGCTTTTCTGTCGTTGCGGTACCTTTGATATCAAATGATCTCGATCTAGTACCTCCATTGACTGAAGATCGAGAAATTCCTCATCATTTCAGCGATCTATTTTCAATTTTCGATCGCAAATATCTCGATAACCAAGTGAGATAAAGACAAACGGACTTCAGATTCTTGTTCAGCACATCGAGAACACCCTGTATGCAAGTTTTCAGCACATTCTGATGCCTCGAGTTAGATGAAAAATGTTCAAAGGGGTTAACCTTGCTAATTTTTCAGACCAAAAAATCGACTTTGTCGTAGGGCTTCCAAATTTGGTATACAGGGTCCTCGTGGAATGCCCTAGTGTGGAGTAGAAGCACAGCTCTCTAACTTTCATAATAAAAAAGTACCAAGTTTTCAGCTGCTTTTCTGTCGTTGCGGTACCTTTGATATCAAATGATCTCGATCTAGTACCTCCATTGACTGGAGATCGAGAGAGTTCTTGCCATCATTTCAGCGATCTATCAGACTTTTTTTTCAATTTTCGATCGCAAATATCTCGATAACCAAAAGAGATAAAGACAAACGGACTTCAGATTCTTGTTCAGCACATCAAGAACACCCTGTATGCAAGTTTTCAGCCCATTCTGATGCCTCGAGTTAGATGAAAAATGTTCAAAGGGGTTAACCTTGTTTATTTTTCAGTCCAAAAAATCAACTTTGTCGTAGGGCCTTCAAATTTGGTATACAGGGTCCTCGTGGAATGCCCTAGTGCGGAGTAGAAGCATAGCTCTCTAACTTTCATAATAAAAAAGTAGCAAGTTTTCACCTGCTTTTCTGTCGTTGCGGTACCTTTGATATCAAATGATCTCGATCTAGTACCTCCATTGACTGGAGATCGAGAGAGTTCTTGCCATCATTTCAGCGATCTATCAGACTTTTTTTTCCAATTTTTGATCGCAAATATCTCGATAACCAAAAGAGATAAAGACAAACGGACTTCAGATTCTTGTTCAGCACATCAAGAACACCCTGTATGCAAGTTTTCAGCCCATTCTGATGCCTCGAGTTAGATGAAAAATGTTCAAAGGGGTTAACCTTGTTTATTTTTCAGACCAAAAAATCAACTTTGTCGCAGGGCCTTCAAATTTGGTATACAGGGTCCTCGTGGAATGCCCTAGTGCGGAGTAGAAGCATAGCTCTCTAACTTTCATAATAAAAAAGTAGCAAGTTTTCACCTGCTTTTCTGTCGTTGCGGTACCTTTGATATCAAATGATCTCGATCTAGTACCTCCATTGACTGGAGATCGAGAGAGTTCTTGCCATCATTTCAGCGATCTATCAGACTTTTTTTTTCAATTTTTGATCGCAAATATCTCGATAACCAAAAGAGATAAAGACAAACGGACTTCAGATTCTTGTTCAGCACATCAAGAACACCCTGTATGTAAGTTTACAGCCTATTCTGACGCCTTGAGTTTGGTGAAAAATGTTCAAAGGGGTTAACCTTGTTTATTTTTCAGACCAAAAAATCAACTTTGTCGCAGGGCCTTCAAATTTGGTATACAGGGTCCTTGAAGAATGCCCTAGTGCGGAGTAGAAGCATAGCTCTCTAACTTTCATAATAAAAAAGTAGCAAGTTTTCACCTGCTTTTCTGTCGTTGCGGTACCTTTGATATCAAATAATCTCGATCTAGTACCTCCATTGACTGGAGATCGAGAAAGTTCTTGCTATCATTTCAGCGATCTATTTTCAATTTTCGATCGCAAATATCTCGATAACCAAAAGAGATAAAGACAAACGGACTTCAGATTCTTGTTCAGCACATCAAGAACACCCTGTATGCAAGTTTTCAGCCCATTCTGATGCCTCGAGTTAGATGAAAAATGTTCAAAGGGGTTAACCTTGTTTATTTTTCAGACCAAAAAATCAACTTTGTCGTAGGGCTTCCAAATTTGGTATACAGGGTCCTTGAAGAATGCCCTAGTGCGGAGTAGAAGCATAGCTCTCTAACTTTCATAATAAAAAAGTAGCAAGTTTTCACCTGCTTTTCTGTCGTTGCGGTACCTTTGATATCAAATAATCTCGATCTAGTACCTCCATTGACTGGAGATCGAGAAAGTTCTTGCTATCATTTCAGCGATCTATTTTCAATTTTCGATCGCAAATATCTCGATAACCAAAAGAGATAAAGACAAACGGACTTCAGATTCTTGTTCAGCACATAAAGAACACCCCGTATGCAAGTTTTCAGCCCATTCTGATGCCTCGAGTTAGATGAAAAATGTTCAAAGGGGTTAACCTTGCTTATTTTTCAGACCAAAAAATCAACTTTGTCGTAGGGCTTCCAAATTTGGTATACAGGATCCTCGTGTAATGCCCTAGTGCGGAGCAGAAGCATAGCTCTCTAACTATCATAATAAAAAAGTAGCAATTTTCACCTGCTTTTCTGTCGTTGCGGTACCTTTGATATCAAATAATCTCGATCTAGTACCTCCGTTGAGTGGAGATCGAGAAAGTTCTTGCCATCATTTCAGCGATCTATTTTCAATTTTCGATCGCAAATATCTCGAGAACCAAGTGAGATAAAGACAAACGGAATTCAGATTCTTGTTCAGCACATCAAGAACACCCTGTATGCAAGTTTTCAGCCCATTCTGATGCCTCGAGTTAGATGAAAAATGTTCAAAGGGGTTAACCTTGTTTATTTTTCAGACCAAAAAATCAACTTTGTCGTAGGGCCTTCAAATTTGGTATACAGGGTCCTCGTGGAATGCCCTAGTGCGGAGTAGAAGCATAGCTCTCTAACTTTCATAATAAAAAAGTAGCAAGTTTTCACCTGCTTTTCTGTCGTTGCGGTACCTTTGATATCAAATGATCTCGATCTAGTACCTCCATTGACTGGAGATCGAGAAAGTTCTTGCCTTCATTTCAGCGATCTATCAGACTTTTTTTTGTCAATTTTCGATCGCAAATATCTCGATAACCAAAAGAGATAAAGACAAACGGACTTCAGATTCTTGTTCAGCACATCAAGAACACCCTGTATGCTAGTTTTCAGCCCATTCTGATGCCTCGAGTTAGATGAAAAAATGTTCAAAGGGGTAAACCTTGCTTATTTTTCAGTCCAAAAAATCAACTTTGTCGTA